CATTTCGGGATTACCCAATTGTGTGGTGCACATCAATGACCTGCTGATTTTTAGTCACACTTGAAGAATCTATCAGAATTGTTTGATCGACTTCAGGAGGTGGGCTTGGTGATTAACCTGGCTAAGGGTGAGTTCGCTGACACCCAAGTCACCTTTGTGAGCCATGTCATTGGACATGGAAGGATGGGCCCATGGAATGTGAAAACAATAGTTATTGGGGAGTTTTTGACAAAGCGGGAGTATATATTTCCTGGGACTGAACGGTTTTTGTCATATCGAATTTTAGCAGTGCGGTTTCTCCACTGACTGACTTGTTGGAGAAAAGCAGAAACTTTCAGTGGACGGAGGAATGTCAAAAGGCATTTGACAGCCTAATAGCTATGTTAATCACTACTCTAGTATTAGCCACACCTAATTATGCAAAGCCATTCAAGGTGGTTATCAATGCAAGTGATGTGGATGCCGGTGCTGTACTCTTTCATGACCATGAGAAGATAGAAAGCCCTGTTGGGTATTTTTCCAAAAAACTGAATAATTATTAAAAGAAATATTCCCCAACTGAGGAAACCTTGGGATTAGTGCTGGCATCGCAACATTTCAACATTTATATTGCCAGTAATGTGCCTGAGACAATTGTATATACTGATCATAACCCCTTGATGTTTTTAGGAAAATTTAAAGATGAAGATTCCAGACTGTTCAAATGGAACTTATTATCGCAGACATTCAATTTGAACATTATACATTTGGCAGGATGAGAGAACATAATTGCAAGAGAACATGTTGTCACGACCTTGATAAAGGAAGACGGAGGTGTTCAGTGGCACGAAGAAAACGGACTGAAATGGACTGGAGTATAGAATTTTTGTATGCTTAGAGTCAATGTAATGTAATGTATGTACTGATAGCTATTTTCTTAATATATTTTGAGGGGCAAAAACAGAAATTGTTGGAAAAGCTCAGCACGTCTGGCAGCACAGGTGGAGAGAAATCAGAGTTAACGTTTCTGGTTTGAGTGATCCTTCCTCAGAACTCCTCAGAATAGAGAACGTCACATCACATGTGAGCAAGAACAGGAGTGAATTCTTCTTTTCAGTAAGGTGATAAATATAGTTCTTAGGGCTAAAGGTATCAAAGGGTACAGGCAAAAGTGGGAACAGGGTATGGAATAGGATGATCAACCATGATTATATTGAATGGAGGAATAGGATCAAAAGATCAAATGGCCTAGTTCTGTTCCTATTTCCTATTTTTCTGTGTTAAGTACGGAAACTGGGCCTATGCTTTCTGTCAACGTAGGTCTAAAAGGCAGATAAATTGTGGAATTTTGCATCATTTATAGAGTCCTTAACTTTTATGACGACTGCCAGAATAGTGGGACTTGATTTCAGTGTACTTCTCCATTGAGGCATAACAATTCTCCTAAACAAAACACTGTGAACATTCATGCAGTTCTGGTGAACTCAGAAGAACATTTCAGACTGCAATTTACTATGCAGTCAGCAGCTGGAAGAGCTAAGCATTCTGGAAGCCTACAGAAAAGCAACATATGGCAAGATTCAATGAGGCAGAATCCACAGTAAATGGAAAAAGCAGTTTATAGTCTTTCCACCCATGGGCCTATTGAGGTCCTCAAACAGGCTAATAATGGCTAGTTACAGGCTTCAGCCCACTACCACCGATATTTTACCCATGACATGGCAAAGCTAACCACACAGGAACCCAACAGCTTGGGTTGTATGGGCTAGTGTTAGAACAAGAGAGGAAGCATCCAACCTCAAATAGTTTTCCCTTTAATCACCCCTAACGTGCTAAACTCTGACACCCGTGTCTCTTGCACCTCTCATTGAGGCCATGTTGGCCTGCCCCAGTGAGATCTGAGAGTTAGCCTTACCTGAGCTCTTCAGAACAGTGAAACCCCAGCAACGACCTCTGCTCCCAGCAGTGTAGCGGGGATTATGGAGCTGCTAGCTCCCATTTAGTGGCAATTCTGCAAAGTTGGAAGCCCTACAAGTAGAGAGGAAGAAGCCTTACCTTAAAGCAACTGACATTGTTTGCAGTGCTAAATTTTTGTAGGGCAGTGTTCAGAGCATTCACAGGCTCCCACCGACATGTTAGGTCGGGGGCAAGGACCAGGGTGCCCTGTAAAATCTAACCTCATATCTCTGCAATGTTGGTTAGATATTAGCCATTTATCTCTATCTGTGCCATTAATTCAGCTACCTTGGTGCAATTTTATTATGCATTCAGATAATGTACCAGTACAATTAAACTCATGACCTCTTCTGTTCCAATTTGTTGTTTCACTATTCTGTTCTTGACATTTTTCTTCAGATTTCTAAATCTCCCTTTATCTGAACATTTCCCCACTGCTCATCCATTAATAAAATGAGTGTATCTGTGTGTCAAGCATATGAGGACATGAGCTCCTCCATTGAAAGAGTGACCACCATCATGGAGAGATAGTTTCCACAATGAGGCTGTTTGCCAACTAGGTGTATGAACAACAAATTGGTATGAACAGATTGTATCATATGTTCTTAGTCCATTACAGTGAATGCCCACTGTTGTATTTTGTTTTATTCATTCGCGGGACGTGGGCGTTGCTCATTAGCATGCACATCCATTGAAATGTTCTCCTGCTCTTGGTAAATAGAGACGAGTGAAAACTTCAAAAGGACTGAGACACGAAGGATGAAATAGATTGTTATGCAATTCAGAGGACCCTGTCACCTGAATCCAATCTCCTCTGAATTAGTCACATGACCAAGGCTGTCCCTCCACAAATGCAGCTGGCACAATCTGCATCAGTGCCATCACATGCGGCCCAACTCTAAGGAGAGGCACGACAGGGCATCTTAATCACTAGGGCACCAGCATAAGCAGCCTGCCTCCACATCTGCTCCAGCCACAGGGATAGCACCAAGTAGGAACTCTTGAAAGAGGGAAGGGAAGTGGAGGTAGCATCACACTGGGGTTCACCTGCGTTGTTGTTGACAAATCCTTTCCTCAATACATAAATTACAGTTTGATGAAAGGGACAATAGTTATATTATTTGTTCTGGGAAATTGTAACCTAACTATAAGGCATTAACTGTAGGTGTAATCTGGACATCCTGAGATAATGTGTGCTTCCAGGAGGTTTGCAGCATCATGTGTGCTAAACCCCATGAGAAGTGAATCTGATTAGGGGGTTACTGTGTGTAAACTTGAGACACCAAAAGTCTGTCTATCCCAGCTTTAAATACAGTCGCTGATGGAACATCCAAACACTTTGGACAAGAGAATTCTAAAGATCCCCAATCTTCAATGAAGTGATTTCCTCGTCTCAGTTATAAATCCTTGTCACCTCCACACTCCCCCACCCACACACCACCCCCCCACCCACCCCCTGCCGAACTTTCGTCATGCTGGACCCCTGTGTTTTAGATGTCCTGGTGAGCGAAAATAATCTCAATGCATCCATTTTATTAATCCCTTCAGAATCTCATATATTTCAATTAGATCATCTCTCATTCTTCTCAACTCCAAAGAACAAAGGCATGAATTACTCAGCTTCTCCTCATAGAACAATCAATTTAATCCAGGGAGGATTTTATTGAATCTTCACTGTACTGCCTCCAGTGTTAGTATATCCTTTCTTAAACATCAAAACTAAAGCTGTTTACTGCATTAGGAATGTAATCTTAGCAAAGCCCCGTACAATTGTTCAAGACTTTTTTTTTTAATTTCTATACTTCAAAAAACATTACTTGGTTCTATTCTTACAACCTAAGTGAACAACTTCACATTTCCCCATATCATACTCCGTTTTCCACTCACTATGTCTCATTGCAGCTTCTGTATCTTCCTAACAGCTTACCAAAGCACCTTAGCTTAGTATTATCTACAAATCTAGATACTTTTTCTCTATCTTCACACAATTTGTTAATGTAGATTGGAACGAGCTGAGGCCCCAGTAATGATCCTTACAGCACTCCATCAGTCCCAACTTACAAACTTGAAACCCTCTTGATCATCTCAGTAGAATAGTTATTAAAAGTGAGCAGTAGCAATGTTACTTAACACCAGTATACTGCCACTAAGTGGAAAGCCCCATCTGTCAATATTACAGATTAATATTATTATTATCAAAATTGTTAGAAAAATTGGACATCATTATCAAGGCCAAAACATACTCACTTTATTTTTCTTACATTATTACAATTGTTTAATATTGTGCCATGCCTCATCTTAGGTCTTTAAAGGTAGAAAACAAAATATGCAAATTTTGAATGGAACAGCCAATAAATATCAGTTCCTTATAGCTCCTCACTTAAACTTGTTATCAGCGTGAAATATTGTGTAACTATGAGGGTGGGGAAGAAGACAGCAGGCCTGGAAAATAATGTAGGAGCTAAGTCTATCTATTTTCTTTTGCTTGATCACTACTGGAGTTGGTCATGTGGGGCATGAATTGGGTGAATAACCAAAGGTCCTTTTCCTAGGGTGGGAGAGTCCAAAACTAGAGGTCATAGGTTTAAGGTGAGAGGGGAAAGTTGTAAAAAGAACATGAGGCGTAGCTTTTTCACACAGACAATGTGGCCAGGATCCCATCATCAAGTCGCCCATGATTTACATGTGGAAAGTCCTTAACACTGATCCAGCTCTCTCAGACCTAGCTCTCAGAGTGAACAGTATCTCTAACACTCCAGTTCTTATCGTTCAGCCAGGGATCCTTGACTGGGGCTGTTAACCTGGTCCAATCAGGAAACTCATATTCTATGAGGTCCACCTGGCTGAGCTCATTAGAATCACAACAAGTGCATGTATGGAACAAGCTGCCAGAGGAGGTGGTAGAGACGCGTAAAACATTTAAAAGGCATCCAGGTGGGTCAATCAAGTGACCATATTCTCATCAGACCATAGGGCTGCTCTATCATTAGAGAGAGACAACTGTTGGTAATTTAACCTGAGGGCCACCATACCTCAGGCGAGAGGGGAGGTTAAGAAGGAGAATCCTTAATGGTAACATCAGCTGGTAAGCGAATTGAACCCATGTTTTCAGCATTGCATTGCTTTGCAAACCAATCTTCTAGGCAACTGAGCTAAAGTTATGAATATAAATGGTTTAGAGGGATATGGGCCAAATGGGACTAGGTCAAATTGGAATGTCTGGTCAGCGCGGATGAGTTGGACTGAAGGGTCTTTTTCCATGCCATATGACTCAATGACTATGACTCTATGATTCCTATAAGCTGTAGTAATTTTCCACTCCACAAAATATCTTGAAGTCTCTAAATTAAAATAAAATTTAAAAAGGTATTATTTCACTCTTACCCAATTATACATTTCAAGATAAAAATGTTTACAGTCTAAGTAGCTTGTCACAACATTTCTTGTTTCATTTGGAGAGTCACCCTTGGCAGACTCCCTCACTTTCTTGCCAGAAATCCCAATAATTGTGAAAAATAAGCTGTTTATCCAACTAATTGTCAATAGGGTGAATATTTCCAAACACAATGAAAGAATCTAGAGAACTTTGTTCCCGTTAAATTGAATGAATATGCTGTTTACAAATGACAGTAAATTATTCAGTGTAAAAGACCAAATTATTTTGCTGCAAAAATGAAGCCATGGTAAAATTGACCTGTTTTATTAAATGCTTTTTTTTTGGCTTGTTGGAAGAAGCCTATATTTTCTGGCTCCAGAATTGCAAATAAAAAATGAAAGCTTTCTTACTTATGAAGCTATTGCATTTGTAACAAATTGTGACCTCTGAACTATGATATTTGAAAAGTAATGACACACATACAAAACTTGGATGAGTGTTTCATCAGTGCCAGAAACCTTGTTTTCTGAGCACAGGATCATTACATTGTGGAGCGCTGAACATAATATTCACCTCCTAAAGTGCAATTGTGTGTAATGTAGCATATCTCTCCCAGGTATTATTGAAACTGCTTGTGTTCATTAGAGGGTAATTGTTCTTGAACAAATTGTCTGGCTCGATTAGAAGTCAATTTGACATTTTGTACCTTTCTACAGTGTGCCATCTAAAGCAATTTACTGTAGATGGTATTTTTTGTTTCTAAGAAAGTTTGGTCATGAAGTTCAGGTCCATTGCGCTACTGATGCCAGCACAACAGGAACCCAAAACTCTAAAACATGTCCTTAGCTAAAATACTGCTAATGGCCTTTGACTTGGCCCAAGCTCTGTACTCTAACTATAAGGGTGCCCGTATCACCCTATCACGCATATACTGTCAGCATGCAGAGTGAGCAGATCGTGACGACAAAAAGTGATCATGCTGATTTGACACAAAATATTCCATTTTGTGATAACAAGGTGTAGAGCTGGATGAACACAGCAGGCCAGGCAGCATCAGAGGAGCAGGAAAGCTGACGTTTCAGGTCTGGACCCTTCTTCAGAAATGGGGGAGCGGAAGGGGGCTCTGAAATAAATAGAGAGAGGGGGAGGCGGTGATAGAAGGTCGATAGTGGAGCAGATAGGTGGAGAGAAGACGGACAGGTCAAGGAGGCGGGGATGAAGCTAGTAAAGGTAAGTGTAGGTAGGGAGTTGGGTATGGGCGTTGGTCAGTGAGGAAGGAGGGGCGGGTAGGTGGGAGAGAAGATGGACAGGTCAAGGAGGCGGTGATGAAGCTAGCAGAGGTGAGTATAGGTAGGAAGTGGGGATGGGGGTTGGCCAGTGAGGTGGGAGGAGCAGATAGGTGGGAGAGAAGACAGACAGGTCAAGGAGGTGTGGATGGGAGAGGGGCTGGTCTTGGGATGAGGTCGGGGGTGGGGAGATTTTGAAGCTCGTAAAGTCCACATTGAGACCATTGGGTTGTCGGGTTCCAAGGCTAAATATCAGGTGCTGTTCCTCCAGTTTTCGGGTGGCATCATTGTGACACTGGAGGAGGCCCAGGATGGACATGTCGCCCAGGGAGTGGGAGGGGGAGTTGAAGTGGTTCGCGACTGGGAGGTGTCATTTGTCGCGAACCGAGCGTAGGTGCTCCACAAAGCGGTCTCTGAGCCTCCACTTAGACTCTCCCCGACGTAGAGGAGGCCACATTGGGAACAGTGGATACAATAGACCACATTAATGGATGCGCAGGTGAACATCTGTCTAACGTGGAAGGTTTTCTTGGGGCCTGGGATGGGGGTGAGGGGGGAGGTGTAGGGGCAGGTGTAGCACTTCCTGCAGTTGCAGGGAAAGGTACCGGGAGTGGTGAGGCTAGTGGGGAGTGTGGAGCAGACAAGGGAGTCATGGAGAGAGCGGTCCCTCCGGAAGGCAGATAAGGGTGGGGAGGGGAAAATGTCCTTGGTAGTGGCGTCAGATTGCAGGTGGCGGAAGTGGCAGAGAATGATGTATTGAATCCTGAGATTAATGGGGTGATACATTGAGGTCAAGGTGAATTCTGTCTTTGTTTTTATTGCAGGGAGGGTGTGTGAGGGCTGAGGTGCGGGAAACGCAACAGATACAGTTGAGGGGGTTTTCAATCACTGTGGGGGGGAAATTGCAGTCCTTGAAAAACAAGGACATCTGGGATGTCCGGGAGTGGAACGCCTCATCTTGGGAGCAGATGCAGTGGAGTCGGAGGAATTGGGAATAGGGGATCGCATCCTTGCAGGAAGGTGGGTGAGAGGAGGTGTGTGAGTCGGTGGGCTTGAAATAGATATCAGTTTCCGGGTGGCTACCAGAGATGGAGACAGAGAGGTCCAGGAAGGAGAGAGAGGTATCAGAGATAGTCCAGGTGAACTTAAGGTTGGGGTGGAAGGTGCTCATAAAGTGGATGAACTGTTCAAGCTCCTCGTGGGAGCACAAGGCAGCGCCAATACAGTCATCGATCTAACGGAGGAAGAGTTTGGGATAGGGCCAGTGTAGCTACGGAAGAGGGATTGTTCCACGTACCCTACAAAGAGGCAGGCATAGCTTGGGCCCATGCAGGTACCCATGGCCACCCCTTTCGTCTGTTGGAAGTGGAAGGAGATGAAGGAGAAGTTGTTAAGGGTAAGGCCGAGTTCGGTTAGGTGGATAAGGGTGTCAGTGGAGGGAGACTGGTCGGGCATGTGGGAGAGGAAGAAGCGGAGGGCTTTTAGGCCATCTGCATGGGGAATGCAAGTATACAGGGATATTCCATTTTGTGCCTTGCACATCCATTAACTGCCTTTCTGAATGACTTTAAGTTGAGGATACCTGTACAAGTGCTAATTAAAGGCTCTGTGCTGGACTTCCAAGTAAGGTGCTTTTGACTTTCTTTTGCTGGTGCAAAGATGAAGAAGTACTGCTTTAAGTAGTTTTGGAGGAGATTAGAATAAAGGTTTTGGATTTCCAGGGATCTGTGTTGTACTTTGACAAGGAAGTCAGAGGTGTTGCAAGGTCTGTCAGCAGGAAGACTGCTGTCAGTAATGGGAGCTATGTGATTTCTGTGTGGCACTTGCAGGATTCCCAATGGTGCAGCATACTATTAACTGCACGCACATGGTCCCACTTGTTAACAAGAGCATGTACCACAACTGCAAGGCTCCCACTCTGTGCATGTACAATTAATACACAACTATGCACAAAATATTGCACCAGAGAAAGCCAATTATTATGGCAACAGCAACAGCCATTTTATCCTTAGGCAGCCAGCCATACCTGCTGAGACCATTAAAACACACAGAATAGCTACTGGGTAACAAAGGTCAACACCTGACACATGGCTCTCCTCTTCCACTCAACTAACTTTGGACAGCACCAAAAATGATTGCTCTGCTTCTACCAAGCCATCGACATCCATAATCAACAATTCCACTCTTTGAACTTCCCAGCAGGGTTTGAGATGGGGATGTGGTGCCCTCTAGCACTCAGTGGGTAGGATTCCAAGTTTGTGATGGTCTGTGTAATCTTCATACTATTGTTCTTGGTAGGCTATAGCTCTCACTGATAGACCAGGAAGAGAAGGAGGAAGAAGAAGAAGGGAGAAGGCATCCAGCACTCTTTCATTGCAGTCAGGCTGTTGGTGAGCAGATACTCAGACTTCACCGCTCCCCTGAAATTCAATCGCCAGATCTCAATTGTTCCACAATTTCCCATCTTTCCAGTCATCTGTATTGGCCCATCACAACACTGTCTTGGTTAAAATGCTTAAATAAAATCACCAATAGGAAAGCCATTCCATTAAAGCTTTAAAACTAACATTTCCAACAATGCATTCAAAGCAATACTGTTCACCTTTGTGCAATTCCATAGCACCTGTCCTAGGGATACCATTTCCTGCCCACTTGCTCCTGCACAACATTACCTCTGTGGCTCTGTAATTGTTGACTTTCAATGGTGAAAGTTGCAGATATCCTTGAGCAGTCCTGAGCCTTGAGGAGCCAACTATAGACTGCAGCATTTAACTATGGGAGTAGCAGTCTGGGTTGGCTGAGAGACAAAGGCAAGAGCACTGGCAGAGTGGCTCTGGTGGGAACACAAACGCTGTCAGGCTGAGAGACCAGTAGGTGTATGCTGCATGGAACCACTGTCACATTTCCAGCACATCTCGACAATCCTTGTGATATGCTGGAGGACTGATTGTTGGCCTTCTGTGTGTGACCCTACAAATTGCTTTGCCCCAATATAGCAGCAGTGTGAGCTCACATGATGACAAGCACAGCTCTCCCACTTTCAGTCCGAACTTCAACTGGAGCATTCAGACAGGTTGCTTCTGCCTGTACTGCATTAGAAACAGAAGCATTAGCTATGAGACACTGCATCACAGTTGAGTTCTAATGCATAGTTGGCAATGATCACACTCAAAGGCTGGACTCTAAACTCTGTGCAAAGTCCTGAGTCAAGTCTGAGCCCAATTCCACCGTGCTCCTTAGAAATGGTCATAGTTAGAATCATAGAATCCCTACAGCATAGGAGCAGGCCATTCAGCCCGTTGAGTCCACACCAACCCTTAGCATCCCACCCAGACCCACCTCCCTACCCTATCACTGTAATCCTGCATTTCCCATGGCTAATTCACCTGGCCTACACTCGTGAACATTATGGGCAATTTAGCA